TACTAGATACAATAAGATCTTCATTCTAATTTATCATTAAAAATTAGATCAAACCTTAATGTTCATTCATTTTGTATTAACAAATTCATGAATTATGTGGATTCGTTGTCCAAATAATTATCTACTTATCAGAACTCTCAGATCTTAACTGATCCGATCTCTTCATGAAATTAAAAGTATTTACATTATTTTTATGTTCACTTAAAAGTTAAACTTTTCAAAATTCCTTAATCAAATTCAAACACTTTAAGAGATTTGTGATATTGAGCATTCTATATTGACATCAATTGCATTATTATATTAATTTGAAAGTTTATGTACCACGAATAGTTGGTTCTAAACAAGCTCTAGAATTAACCGATTAAACATCAAGACATTCTAAACTTTCAGTTTGATTGTCACCACATTATGTAGAAGGAGGCTGAGACTTAACTAGAGGTTGTATTGCTGCAGAATTTTAATAGATTTTGACTTTGTATCATTTAGATATTAATTTTGTTTGCTACATGCTTTAACTATAGAATATACATTCAAAGCTGCGCTTCTTAAGAATGGTAAGGTTTTAGGCTTCAAATAAAATAAATTAGGTTAATTTAAATTAGCCCAACCAAAGTCACATGTATTCAGCATAATAGGATGAATGCTTGAATATTAACTTCAAAAGGGATTATGATGTTAGATGTGAACAAAATCAACAAGAAAGGAACAATATTATGAATGAATACATTACTAACACTCAACATGAACTGCATCAATCTGTAATTGGGTGTGATGTGGATCATCTCCTTTATTTAGCAATAAAATATTAACCAAAATTAATAGGTTCTAGGTGTCCTAAGAAAGTAGAATATTCTTCAAATCTATCAAACAACAAAGGTAGTTAGTGAATCGTTTCCAAATAATGCTTGCAGTTGTACGCCTATGGTATAATAGATGCTTGACTTTTTGGTGGTTGTCAAAGAATGAAGTGAGAATGTCACAATATGTTTGAAGTGAGAAAGGTAAATGTTTTATCTGTTAGAAATATAAAAATCACTTAACCTCGTGATAAGCTAATAAAATAAATCCTAAGAAGAAATAGTAGAACTTAGGTATGTAAATATATCAAGAAGTATTAACAAACTCACTAATTTAGATACAGCAGCTAAATACAGATAAGCGAAGATTAATGTTCTGCATTAATAGGGTGGAAAATAGTCATACATATTTAATGCAATGTGGTTCCCTAAAGATAAGAACTAATGTATTGATGGTGAAGTATTGCATATCTCTATTTTAATACATAAGATTCTAAAGATTAATTAAATGAAAATTATCTGAAAAAAGAACTCAAAGAAAGGACAACATCTATCATCTCAAGAATCTCAACATTACTCGCAGTCTCTTCATCTATACTTGACAAAAGGATTTTAGTAGGATATACCCAGAAATAGTTTGAAACAAAAGAGCAAATGTAAATTAAACCATTTGGGAATTATCAAAAAGTTTCAAGAAATATACACAAAGAATGGCTATTGTACCCAAAATATTTGCTAGAAAAATTTTAACACAACTTCCTTTCCTTAACAATAGATCCTCATAAAAGGAGTAAAACCATTCCTCACAGAAATCATTGCCATATCATCATTAAGCGATTCTGCTTAAAATCTACTATAACGCGATTCAACTTTTCTTTTATGCAGCTTATGAAGTATATTATAGAAAGTGTGTACTCATTTGGAACTGCCTCAAATATTTTGAAATACCACTTCAATTATAGATGTTCATTTTGCATTGATGAAATGGTAACTATCACAATAAGTTTACCTTTCAATGCTGCACCACAAGCTAAAACAGCATACTCCTACATATTGATGAACTTGCTTTAACAAGTACAATAAACAGAATGCCCTTACCTACATATCATGTCAAGCAAGTAGGAATGCAGAAGCACATTCAAAAATCACCAGTAGAGCCACATAATATTAAAAACTATTGTGAGCTTTATATACTTTTTTTGTTCCTTCTTTTGGAGGGAGGAAGAGACCATATTTGTTATATAAACTGAAATATTGATAAAATAATTTTACGATCAAAACAACACTAATAAATAAACATCTGTAGATTATTGATACCTAAAAATTTAGCCAATTAAAAGTAAATTGAAGGAAAAAGAGTAAGCAAAATAAAATTTGAAATACATAAGAATTCATAGTTAATACTATTTGGTTATTATAGTATAAAATAAACATAAATTATTTAATTCGATTTGACTTGAGGAAAATAATTGTTTTGTTTATTTAATTAATTTCTTGATTTAAATTCCTAATAACTCAATACACAGTAAAATTATTTAGATTCCTTTAGATTATTCTTTTTCTAATTTATAGTTTACGAATTATTCTTCTAAACACTTTTTTTCCCTGTATAAATACGCATTTAACTTTTGAACTTTATGTATTATTGCTTTGGCTTTCAAGAGAAGAATCGATATTATTTATGATTTCAACATGTAGCATTAAATTTATTAGTTGCATAATATTTATAAATAATCATTATCTAACTATTTTTATGGGCTATTGGTTAGATATCACGATTTAAATTAACATCTCTAGCAGTTTTAGATATCCTTAGTCCTGTAGAATTAATCCACTCTCTTAATTTATTGGTGTATGAGGAAGAATAAAAATGAACACTTGAATAAATCTATGTGATAAATATGGCCATTATTAGAGAGAGTTAAATACTCTTTGTAATAGTGTAATTAAGAAAAGACAAATAATAATAGTTGAGTCTCTATAATATTTGAAATCAACTAAATGCATAAACCAAAAAGAAATAATAAGAAAAATGTAGAACATCAATTTGTTTCAAAATATATCCTGCTGGTAATTAATTTTCTTTTTCAGTTTCCACATTAATAAAGAGAACCTAAAATAATCATTATTCAGCAATATTGGAATATTTTATTATTATAGATTTGTTAAATTTGTTTATTTATTTATTTGTCTAATGTGATTTGACTTGGACAATTTACACCTTAAAGCATCAATTAAAATTTTTTATCAAGATCAAAAAGCTCTATATCACATAAAGGTTGATGTGAGCCTTCTAAATCCTCTAACATTAACCAAGATTCATTATTAAATACTTTTTTGATTGGATACTCCTTAAGAATACGTTAGACCATTCCAGAATGGAATGAATAGCCATAGTATTAAAGATATTTAATATTTTTGAGAAAATAAAAGGAAGATTTGAAGAAAAAATACTGAGATTTCTTTCTCCGTGTAAGGTTTAATCCAATGAGCTTGAAATTTTTTTGGCAGTAGCACTTTTCAGAATTTATTGTTTAAGAATTACTTTTATCGACCTAGATTATCATTAACAGTTTTAAAAAGTGAAATTTAAAACTAAAACATTAATTTTCAATGAAATTAAGATCCAGGATTCATCATTTATAAATATGAGAATTGAGATCTTAGAAACAATGTCAACATCTTGAGATCAGGGCATAGAATTTTCTTTTTACCATTTATTTTAATTTGATTTTGCATTAGTAATAGGTAAATAATTTTTTTGAATTCTTCTCAAAAATACTTAGGAATGTTAACTTATAATTTCAACTCCTTTTTATCTATTTTTATAATCGATAAGGCTAATTCTATTAAATTGGCATAATTGCAGAATCTCAATCTAGAATATATAAACATTTATTCGACTTAATGTGTAATATCAAATAACTTTAAATTAATATTTCGATCTATTTTCATTGAAACAAATTTCTTATAAGTGCAGTAACGTGGGATTATACAATTTGACAATCAAAGCTAAATACTAAAGTTGGAGTTTATGAAATAGTACTTCGTCTTTTTCATTAACACAAGCACAAATTCTATTATCCAAACCTTTATTTCAGGTTAGCCCTCTGTGCTTAAAAAATTTTTAATCTACTTTAACCGATTTCATGATCACTCTCAAGCATAGATGCATATCCCTCAACGCTTGGTTTAGGATTAATTAATTCGGCTTATTTTCTTTTTGTTAATGAATTTTTTTTTAAACTCTAATTAAGGAGTTAATTAAAATAGCTAAAAAAGTAGATTTATCTTTAGCTAATGGATGAAACTAAAATTTTATCTGAATTTTTTTTATTAATAAGCTGATATTATAAATTAATGATTGAAAAATCTGTTAAATTTTGAAAATTTACTGAAAAGATTTGAGTTAGTGAATAAATCTGCCCTCAATTATATCAATAAGCAAATAATGTTCATTTTATAACTATAAATTGAATTTGACTATATCATCAGATATTTAACTAAAGAATTTGAGTAATAACAATATTTTTTCTGAGCCAATAACATTATAATCCCCTGTTTATCAAATTTTATGATTATTACTTAGTAATATAGTTTGTTAATTCCTTATTAAAAGCCTTGATTAAATATGTGCAGTGGAAATTTCAGATGAATATTTAATTATTTAGATACGAAGCCTTTTTTCATTAAGGTTTAGTCAAACAGAAAATGGACTACTGTCCTGTAGACTCGAAAAAATTAAATGAAATTATTACATAGGATAGAGAAAAACAAATGGGTTTACATGTTCTGTTATAATAGATGAAATTTACAACTAGGAGTATTAATTATTAAAAGTTATTTTATATTGAGTTTCATATTAGAATCACTCTGTAGCTCGTATATTAAAGGTAAATTAAACATTTTGAAATTAACCAACTTAATTATTTTAAATAATTTTTTCATTTTTCTATAGATTCAATCTAAACTATTTGGTTGAAGAGTATGATGACACCTTTAGTATTAAATTCTTTAATTTTTTAATTTACAAATTATGGATTTGTAAGTTATTTTTGATTAATCGAGAACGTATCATTTTTTAAACATTAATAAGCATACATGTTTGAAGAATTAAAAAAAAATATTTTTTCTAAACAATTACCTAAAGGTTAGATAATAAAATCCAAACCCAATTTTCTGTTCTTGTTTTATATTTTATGATAGCGTGTTCCTATGTATTCTGATTTAATAAAAATGGACACATTATTTTGATAATTATTAATATAAATTTTAATTTTTAGTTATTAATATTATATTTTCAATTATCAAAAATCCAAATTATCTTACTACCTAATTTTCCAAATGCAATTTAAATTTCAAAGAAGATTTAATGTTTAATAACATTTATTAGCGGCAAATTCTTCATTTCCAATTATCTAAACTGCTTAAATGTATTCCCTATTATATATATTTTTTAGTTTTCTAATAATTTTTTTCTGAAAAATTTGTGTTCTTATTTAAGGAATCCTTCCTTTCTATATTAAGTATAAAATTCTTATAGATAATAATTAAAATTCTTTTTTTTTTCTACTAAATTGGTTTTTATTAATCTTTTCTTGCTAATCTTGTTCTTGTTTGAATCTTTTGACATCATCAAGGTTATTATATCTTTGCTGTGGTGATAAGTTAATTTTAGATTGGATCTCCCTAATGTAATATAAAACATTCCAAACTATAAAATCTGAATTTATTATTTTGGATAAAGAAAAGCTATTAATTCCTCTAATAAGTAATTAATGAATATTGAGGACATCTTGAGGATTTCATAAATGCTCAAATAAATATTAAAAAAATCTAAAGGTTCCCTAAACTAAAAGAATTTTTCTAAAGTATTCTGAGGATGGTTTTGATGCAAAAATCAATACTTGAATGAAAATGCGAATTGATATTAATTTGATATCCAATCAAAAATGAGATTTCTTCGAACGGAAAAAGAGAACCTTTGAAATAAAAAACTGTTGCATCAAAAATGAGCTTTTAAGTAGCTTAGGCATAATCTATTGAGTTTTTTTAATTGAATACAATAAAAAGTCCAAATCAATGTTAATTTTTAGCACTTATAGTGAAATCTAAGTTATTAGTCTGTTGAGCTATTTTAACCTTATTGACCTTAAAAGTCAATTATTAGTATCAGTTTTAATGTGAGTATTTCACAATCAATACTTAGACAAATTAAAATAGATATATTTTGTTACCTTATTTAAAGATAATTTGGCCAATTTAAATGACAGAACATTATATAATTGGAGCAAGTAAATTAGATATTAGAAATAAAATAGATCTATTAATAGGGATCAAAAAACTTATGAATTTTTATAAGGTAAATTAAATTCGCTGACATTCTTGATTTTAAACGTATTTATAACAATAATCTTATCCCTCTAATTTCTAAAATCTTAAATTTATTTCTGTTCTTGGTCTAAATCGTTCAATAGCAACCAGTATGAGTAAATGCTTTCTTGGGAAATATAAAGACATTTTTTCTCTTATTTTTCTATTTTGCTTAAATCATTTGATCATTGTAGGTCTCCTCCCATTTTGTTATTGAATCTTCTTTTGTCTCCAACTCTTTAGTCTTATCTCAATTATTATTACAATATTGCTCAATTATAATAATATAGATAAATCTAAATGAGACTCCATAGTGAATTGGTCTTGTAGAATTCATTTGTTTGAATTTACATTCCTGAAAAAAGGTAAGATTCTAATAGATGTGGTAGTTTTGAAGTATAGAGAATTTAAGCTTCTTAAACCTCCTAAGAATATCGAACTAGAATTTTAATAATATTTTTTATGAAAAGCAACTAATTCTCTTAGTTAGCACTTCCTATTGCACATCCTTTTCATTATTTATGGACTTGTTCTTTTACATTTTCTTTAATAAAATGGTATGCTTACCTCTACAACTAAGGACTCTCTAATGTTTCGAATTTGAACAGTTTATTCCAATTATTTAGGTTCACCTTAACAATATAACACAATTCTATTCATGATGATTTGAATAGTAGACCTCTGGGCTTCTGCTTTTCCATTGGTCATCTAAATATGTTATTATTTTTGCTTTCTTTGATTGGCATCACCTAAAATAATCTAATAATCATAGCATTTCTCTGCATATCTCTTCATATGGAACTTGATAGATACATACAACTTGTCTGACAATTTTATGAACTCTATGATTCTTTTATTGTTATTTGAGTTCTTTTATTTAGTCACATATTTGGAGAATAAAAACAAAAGCTTGAAAAATTATTTTATTTATATTTATGATATTTGAATTGTTAAAAATAGGTAGTGTCAATTGTAATTAAGATCTAATATTGATTTCGAGAGTATGTTACTTAGTATCCATCAAAAAACCGATCATCTTTTCACAATTTTGTAATTTTTTCCTAACTCATCCTAATTTTCTTTATCTTTATAACTTAACTGAATAATTCAATTGCTCTGATTTGGCTTAATTTTTTCATAAGTATTTATAGAATATTGAAATATAACCTTATTATTCGATTTTTGTTGTATCAAATTTGACAAACTGCAAATGCAATTACTTGAAAATCCTCATAATAAATTTTCAAAGTTCACATTCTCATTTGCTGGTGTTGTTCTTAGTGCATTGTTATTGATAATGTATCAATGAGATTCATTCATTTTCCTATGCAAATTTTACATCTATATATACAAATAATACAAAGAATAATGTCATAAAAAAAGAGGCTAATAACTAAGTCATCTCAAGATAATTCTATCCAATAAACAAAGTAAGGTTGCTAGCCAAAGTATGATAATAGGAAAAACTAAATCAGTAGCAATGTTTCATTCACAAACAAAATTATCAATATATTTTTTGAAAATGAGTTCAAATTTAATATCTCCCTTCGGAGCTCCTATTCTATAATCCCAAGAATATGATTTAGGTTTTCTGATATTTGTCGGCTTAAAATTCTCCCAAAGATTCAATTTCTATTTCATGATACTCCAAAAGTAGAATTTCCCCTAATTTAAATTAATTCATTACTTATAATTGGATTTATAAAACCTTTTCATACTGTGGGATTTAAGTTATGCTGAAATTTCAATACTGTTCAAAATGAAAGACTTGACTGAGGGAATGGCACTTCTTTTATATAAGATATTAAGAAAATATGAGAACCATTTCTTATAATTTTCATGAATTTTCTTTTCAATAATTATTTTCTCATAGACTGGGACAAAATAAAAAAATCTCTTAATTCAACTTCACTTGTTCTGAATTATAATTTATAGATTTGACTTCAGTTTGGAACTTCTCAAATGAAGATTCTGATGAGGTAAATAAATTAAATTGTATATAAGTCTTAGAATTTTCTTTGTATTTTAACCTACTTGCACAATTTTTTAAGATTAATTTTATTGTATTACATCAGTTTTCCACTGAGTCTTCAATCGTTCTAAATGATGGATTTCTATTGGTATTTCATTTGCCTTATTAATTCGACTTACTTGGTGTTCACCTATAATAATTAGCTTTCAATTTCTGGACTAAAACTCCTAAATTTGAAGGAGTCTGACCTTGGTGAAGCACTATAATTATCTCTGGCGAGAGTGGTGAGTTCAGTTATTATTGATTTGTTGTATGAATTATTGTAACTTAATTATGCATTTTTGGCTTGATTTATCCCTTTCAGTTTTTTTTGTCTGTTTTCATAATTGAAGCATTTTGGTGTTAATCCCCATCAAAGTGTAATTAGCCTAATTGATATATCCTCAATTTGATCATACCTTCTTTGGTTTTTTAAAGAATGTTAGGAACACAATAGGCTTGATACCAGTTGGGATTATATATTTAATAGAGGAGGTTCTGGAATTTAGCAAATGAGTCCTCGTTTTGCTTCTTTATTTACAGATTCGATTAATGATTTATGGAAGTCTAAATTGGAAAATATTAAAATATGCCAATACTTCTCTTCTGTAATTCGGTTTCGATTCTCTACTATTTAATATTGTCGTCAATCAATACTATTGGAATATATTCTTTTTAATATTACAAATTGAATTAATGTTTAATAATATCAATCTTTGTTTTAGATTACAATCATTCCCAATCATCTAAGATTTCCACTTTCTCTCCAGAAGAACACATATTGATGCAAAAATGAATATCATCATTATATGGTGGATCAAAGGTCAACACTTAAGTATCATTCCGTTTATTTTTGCATGTAAATTTGAGTGTCTAAATTTGAGAACAAGATTTACCTTATTTTCTAAACTGACATCCACAATAATAATATCACCCGTTGTAAAAGTGAATGATTTCTAGACCATATTCTCTTCTTTTTTAGAGTGAGACCAGGTGCATGTGTTTGATGAATTCATGTAAGAACCATGTCCCAAGTAATTCCAATCAAATTTCATACTTAAATTTTATAATACTTTTTTACTTATTCGAGGAAAGTACATTTTTATAAGCTATCCCTATGCCAATCCAATTAGCTAAATAGGTAATCTTGATTGCAATCTTACAAGACGTCATAATTCGCGGTTCAATTAAAATGAATCTATTATCATAAATTTAATTTGCTGTTTGATGAGCATTCTTTTTTTCTATTATTGTAATGGTTGGAGATTTAAGAACAGTGCTGAATATGAAATTTGGTGAATTTTGGGCTTACGGTGGTTGAGTGAATTTTTCAATAGGCTTAGCAATTTCTTGACAATGCTCATTTTATTAATTTGCCTTCTATTATATTAATTACTAAGTAAATGTTTAAGTTTACTTGCGCGTTGTTTTTTAGTTGGACCTGACTATAGATTTTGATTAAAGGAATCACATTTTGAATGATTAATTATGGGAAATCGTCATTTTAAAATTGAAGTAAAGGAATAGAATTGAGTTTTGGTAAATCTGATGACACTTAAGATGGTAATATATTGATCAAATTACACTTATCATTCAATAATTGATCAAGTTATGCATGAATTCTGTTGAATGATCCCTATTTATATTTATTTAATTATTATTTTACCTCTACTTCTTATTACAAATTTACTAAGATTTTTTCTGTTTTACTCTTTTATTCTTATTCCATTTGATTTTCTATTCTCTCCATATTATATAATTCTTTAATAAATAATGTTTCATTTATTACTTTATCGAATTATATCATCTAATTCTATTAAATTAACATTAATTTTTATTCAAAATCCAAAAACAATAATTCAGAATAAATTTAATATAATATTAATTTAACATTTATCATGCAAAAGTATGAACTTCATTGCAAGAAACATATTGCAACATATTGAAATGAAACTCCTAACCAGACTATTATTGCATTTGTAACTGAGCTATCTGTTAAATACTTCCTTCTTTCAATTAAATTTAACCTATTGTCTAATTAACTTGCTTAATAAGGTTATATTCATATATTGAGAACGACTGGATTATCCATAGGTTTATCATCTATACTATATCTCTAATTGAAGTAAATCCATCGCAAATATTAGATTTTACTTATTATATTGTGAATAAAATCTAGAAAGGTAAATTTAAAAACGAAACCCATTTTGGATTATATGACAAAAGATGATATCTTTAGATAATTTAGGATCAACTGCCTCAATAATATGCTATTTGCACTTTTAGTATACTCCAGTGTAGTTTTTGATGACTTTTGTTATAATAAACTTGAAACACCAAAATGATTGCTTGATCATTATATTTCCTATGTCTTACGAGAGATTAATGTGTTTTATATCAATCAGGTTAAATGTTACATTAAAATAAAAGCGATATTGAATTTTTTCATTGAATCAATTTAATGATTATAATTTCGGAATTTACTCCTAAATAAAATGAATTTAATTATATATATTCCATAAATGAAGATTCTGAAATTAAATTTACAAAGAAAAATATGAAATATTGCGATTTAGAAAAAAGAACAATTCATTCAATCAAGCAATTTAAATTAAGCACTCTAGCAAGTTATTAATATTTAATAAATTTTATTGACTATGTATTTGTCTAACATACTAAATTAATTGAAATTACAAATCATAAGATAACGATAATCTAAACTTGCTTCAGAATCTTCTGATATATCTAGGGAATCTAAATTCATTTCAAGACACACTCAGGTCTACGCAATTAGTAAATTAAGGGATTATTTGGTAATTGTTTTAATGATGTGAAAATTGGATTAAAGATTAGTGGTAGAGAAGCGAGAAAATCAAATTATGTGGTAGATACAAATCATACTTATGAGAAACTGATAATCCATCATATGTATTAGTTGCTTATTATCCACATTTGGGTACTAAAATTTGGAATTGGAGACTAAGTAAAATTCAGATCCTGTTTTGAATAAATAATTATTCTTGATCATAATTAGATATCCGTTCCATGAATGGCTTTCTATGGCAAAAAAGTGGCTTGTGTGTTAACTCAGATACATTAATTCTAAAATAGTTTCAATTTATTTTTATACTATTAATTTAGAAAGAATGCTTGTTATACTGATCATTCTCGCATTTTGCACCCTATAACTGTATTTTGTCAAAGGTGTCAATTCTTCTCGTTTTCTTTGCTTTTTGGCGATAAATAACCTCTTTCATTAAATGAAAAGACTATTCAACTCAGGAAACCCTAAGCTAATAAAACATAGATATATGACTAGATTTCTTTAGGATAAACGAGTTCCCTCAAGAAGAAACAATGGAGTATATAATGTGGAATTTACTGTTTGAGCATTTTAGATTCACAATTTTCTCCTACAATTTTCAAATAAATAAATAATATAGCAAAATTTTTCAATGGTAACGGATGAAAAATTTTGAAAATTTATTCACTTTATCAACGTAAAAGACTTGATCCTTATAAATAGCGTCGCTTATTTGAAGCATTTGGTAATGAGTTTTTTATTCTCGACTTAAAAAGAATGGAACTATTTTAGAAAATAATACTAAGTTGTATGTTTGGGATAAATAACAAAGAATCTGCTTATACGAATAAATTATTTGAAGAACGTATCTCAAATTAAAAATAACAAGAATTTAGGAATGTATGAATTTTTTATACATGATGAAAATATAATATTTGAATTAAGTTGATGATATTTTAATCTTAAATAGTTTCATTTTTGTTATTCTATGCTTGGACGAACTAAGGTTAGATGTGGATATTCATAAAATAGTTTTGTCTCTTTGGGTTTATTTTGCGATTGTTTTTTTATTTGATATATTTTCCAAGCCTTACTAATGCAATCAATTAAATCGATGATCAAGTTTGAAATTAATAAGACAGAAAAAAGAGCTATATGAATCCATCCATAAAGTAACAGCTAATTTTAGTCAAATTCAAAGCTATAAATCAAAAATGATCCAGTTATGATAATAAAAAAAAATTCTCTAGATATTAGTTTTGCAAATTCATACATAGACTATAAAGGTTTGCACTTTAATAAATAACTCAAATAAAAAAATGAAAACATTGAAAGTAATATTGATTATACTTATAGATAGTCAAGAGCAAGTACAATAGAAAATATGTAAAAATTATTCTGTAGATCTAAAAGGATCTGTAATTAGCAGCCCAAAATTCAGATTTTGAATCCTGATAAAAATATAACCATTTTTATTTATCTTTTTTATTGGCTGATGTGATAGAAAGTAGTTATAAACTTATATATGCGATGGCCCCTAACCCGATAATAGCATTTATGCTATTAAATGCTTTAAGAGGGGAAGTGAAGCTGTAATCTGGAAATTGTAACAATGTGCTAAATAATAATTAATGCAGAATTGCTAAATAAACTTT